ATAGTCTATAGTTGTATGTTGAAAATTGTGCCTGTGTGCAAGCTGAATTATGCATTAGAATTATATTTTGTCTTTTAGTTTTGTGTGTGTGTGTGTGTGTGTGTGTGTGTGTGTGTGTGTGTGTGTGTGTGTAGAGTTGGATGGATGGAAATGGGTACATATAGATCATCCATCATCTTTAAGTTGTGTATATATAGAAAAATATATTAAGGTAAAAAAACTACATATATAAGTAAAAATGTTTTTACCTTTAATATAAAATTAACATATTTTGGTATATATTCACATTTCTTTTAAGATAGCAGACCGCAATTAGGATTTTTAAATGCAACTAAAAAGATTCCATTTAAAAAAATTAATAAGTTTTGAATTGTGTACACACATAATATAAGCAAAAGTGCTTTATAACATTTTTAGAAAATATTAGAGTAAAACATTGTATTTTATTGTATGTATATGTATTGTGTATTTTATTATATGTATAAATTTGTATAATTTTATTATATGAAAATATAAATATTATTTATTTTCAATTATTCATCCCGACAAGTGGAATTTTTAAATCCAACTAAATGAGGAAATGTTTTGTTTTTCAAAAGGTGTTTTATAAATATATATAAAAAAATGTAAGTAATATTTAATGTATAATTTTTTACATGTGATATTTATATATTTATAGAATTTTATTTTTAAAGAATGCAAGTGGGATTTTTAAACGCAGCTAAATGAGGAAAGACTAAGTGAAAATAAAAAGCCACAACAGTAATGAAAAAAAAAAAACAATTTGATTAAAAAAACCACTAAAATTTATTTAAAAAAAGTTAATTATACAAGGAGATTATTTCCCTTTTCAGTAAATTGTAGATCTGTTACATATTAAGTCTGTAAAAGAGTCACCAGTAATGTTTTCAGAGAAATCGTTCCATTTCTAAATTGACCGTGGAAAAACTAATTTGACATGCTCTGAATTAGGGTGTGTTTTCGAAGTAAAACATGAAGTCATGCATTTTATTGACCGAGAAACCACAGGATATAGTCTTTTTTCCCATTTAACAATTGACAGATTAAAAAGGTTATGTGACGTCTAAATTGAGCTCAATGTCACATCTATCCATCCATACAACAAGTAACAAGTACAGAAATAAAATAGTAAAAATTACTTTGACATTGTCAATGTTTTAGGCACTTTCTGTGTTTTAGTCATCAAAAGACTGAATATTGAATTGAAAGCCTCATGTTGCAGTTTTTCTTTCGAGTTGTGGTGTTTCCAGGCGGAACGTTCAAGAACGTGACGCGCACGTCTCCCGGAAATCCTGTATAATTCAACCAATCCGATGACTGCTTCGAAACTCCTGAAGTGTTTCCACTTTTGTGTGCCATATGCATCAGACGTTTAGCCAACGGTCCGTGGGCGTGACGTCTGAGGCCGAGACTACTTGCTCACCAATGGATCCTCTGGAGTGAATGGGTGCCGTCAGAATGAGAGTCCAAACAGCTGATTCAAAAACAACGGTGTTTGATCTGTGCATGTTTCTCTCCTGATTCAGACAATATGACTTCTTCATTGGAGGAAGCATAATTATGGATAGAGGAGTCATATTTGAGCTGAAAGTGACCATTTAAAGTTAAAATAACAATGTTGGATTTGTTTCTTAAAAACACGCAGCTTTTCGCTTCACAAGATGTTTACTGATGGACTGGACTGGTGTGGATTTCTTGTGGATTATTGCGATGTTTTTATCAGCTGTTTGGACTCATTCTGACGGCACCCATTTAGAGGTCTGCATTCCCGCGGGACCCGACCATGACATTGTCAATGTTTTAGGCACTTTCTGTGTTTTAGTCATCAAAAGACTGAATATTGAATTGAAAGCCTCATGTTGCAGTTTTTCTTTCGAGTTGTCGTATATCTTTGCTCTGTTATTAACTGGTTATATCTGTTCACGTTGCCAGGTCCAGCAGTAGCCTGCAGCAGACGCCAGTCCACAGAGCGCCGCACACCATGTCTACATTCCTGATTGCACATGATATCTCGTCTTAACTTGAATCCACACCCTCATACTGTCCGCTCAAACCTGGGGGCTGTGGATATTTGAGCTGTTGTTTTTATTATTTTCCTAATATTGTTTACATAATATTGTTGATGATGGTTTTTGGGACCTCAATAAAAATGTTAAATAAAAAAAGGTTTCTGTTCCTTTTATTCATGTTGTAGTTACTGTGTAGTATTATTGTAGATGAGTTTGTTTCTTCATCAGAACAGATTCGGAGAAATGTAGCATTCCATCACTTGCTCACTAGTCTCGCGTAGCCAGACCTTCAGACTGACAGCTGAAGGTCTGGAATCCATGGCAGCTTTCATTGGCCAAGGCCCGCCCATGAGACATGTCAAACAACCAATCACAGTTCGTTTCGTTCATCGTCACGTTTCGGGGCGTGGAATTGTAAACACGACGACTTTCTTCTTTCGTGAGGGGGTTTGGCGTCGCGGCATCTTTGTTTCCAGGCGGAACGTTCAAGAACGTGACGCGCACGTCTCCCGGAAATCCTGTATAATTCAACCAATCCGATGACTGCTTCGAAACTCCTGAAGTGTTTCCACTTTTGTGTGCCATATGCAGCAGACGTTTAGCCAACGGTCCGTGGGCGTGACGTCTGAGGCCGAGACTACTTGCTCACCAATGGATCCTCTGGAGTGAATGGGTGCCGTCAGAATGAGAGTCCAAACAGCTGATTCAAAAACAACGGTGTTTGATCTGTGCATGTTTCTCTCCTGATTCAGACAATATGACTTCTTCATTGGAGGAAGCATAATTATGGATAGAGGAGTCATATTTGAGCTGAAAGTGACCATTTAAAGTTAAAATAACAATGTTGGATTTGTTTCTTAAAAAAATAGCTAATAGGCTATTTTTGTACAACCTACATTTTTATTTATTTTTTCTCTCTGCGACACTTTTTCCTATTGTGTTGTCAATGGTAAACGAATTGTATCCTGACTATTAGACGAATATATAGACGAATAAAAATAAATACAATTTTTGTACAACATTTTTATTTTCTCTGACACTTTTTTTTCCTACTGTGTTGCATAAAATATTAGGCTAAACTGATTTTGTGTCTTAAGATAATTCATACAAATTCAAGTCAAAGTCAATAAATTCAAGACTCTTGACAAGACGAATAAAATAACATACAATTTTGTGCAGAATACACTTTTATTTGTCAGCCTATCTCTCTTTCTTTCAGTAGCGGAAATTTAAATGTGAGATTCTGGAAACGAAATCTAAATTTAGCGGGAACGGTCGGGTCGGGAAGAAAATTATTCGGGTGAACAAAGAGTGAATATATAGCGGGAGCGGGACTAAAAAAAAAACTCTACACCCATTCACTGCAGAGGATCCATTGGTGAGCAAGCGATGTAATGCTACATTTATCCAAATCTGTTCTGAAGAAGAAACTACAAATTGCATATGAGAGCTGATAAAGGATTTTATTAAATTGCTAGTTTCAGCAGTTTGATGCATCTGCATTCACTGACACAAATTTCAAAAGAAAGTTTCATTTCTATTCAAATTCACTTCACCATCTTGCACTTACAATATCAACATGTCTCCGTAATCCTGAATCTCCTACTGATCTTCTAATTCATAAAATGTGATAACGTAAAATGTGAGATCTGCAGCTATTTCAATGAATCTGAAAATAGCCTCCTCTTCTTCAAAAACGCATTTGCCTAAGAAATGTTTTAAATCTGTGCCATTTAATCTTCACCATCCCTATCCACCTTGACATCAATCCAAATCCATGGACCTCCAAAACCCCTCAAACTGATTCTGAAAACATCAACACAATCCAATCTCAGAGTCACTCTTCTGGACCGGTGGCCTCGCCCTCATCATCCTCATCCTCTCTTCCAGAGATGTTCTGATTCATGCGGGACAGCAGCAGAGGAAGATTTATTAGACTGGTGTTTTCCTCTTCATCATCATCATCATCATCATCATCTTTAGGAGGGTAGAAGCGACGAGCCTTGGCCACAAAATCCTCAGCAGCGTCCAGATAGATCAGCCGGTCCTGAGCCAAAAAAAAAAAAAACTATAAAAAAATTGTTTTTTCAAAAATGGTAAGCGGAAATATTTCTTGATCACAAAATCAGCATATTAGAACGATTTCTGAAAGATCATGTGACTGAAAAATTAAGCTTTGTAATCAGAGGAATAAACCACATTTCTAAATATATTAAACAGAATACTGTTATTTTAAATCATTATATTACTGTTTTTACTGTATTTTTGAGCAAATTAATGTAGCCTTGGTGAGAAAAAAATCTTTTCTGTAAAATGAAACCCTTAAATAAATGTAAAATCAACATAAAATGAAGATAATAATAATATTATTATTATTATTATTATTGTTGTTGTTGTTATTAGGCTCATTGTGGGCTTATGTCACTTTTTGGGTGACTTGACCTCTATGTTTCTGTAATAAGACAAATGTGACAAATAACAGGATTACGGTTTATATTTCATTTATCTTTCCTATGTTTATTAATATATTTTGGTATTTGATATATGACTGTCCTGGAGTTGGCAAAAAGGCACTATATAAATAAACATTAACAACAACAATAATAATAATAATCTCAGAGTCACTCTTCTGGACCGGTGGCCTCGCCCTCATCATCCTCATCCTCTCTTCCAGAGATGTTCTGATTCATGCGGGACAGCAGCAGAGGAAGATTTATTAGACTGGTGTTTTCCTCTTCATCATCATCATCATCATCATCATCTTGAGGAGGGTAGAAGCGACGAGCCTTGGCCACAAAATCCTCAGCAGCGTCCAGATAGATCAGCCGGTCCTGAGCCAAACATAAATATTAGAGGTCAAAGTGAGGTAGGAGAAGTCTGTCTATCTCAAGCATGTTTTTAGATGAGATATATAATTTTTTTTATTAAATCTCACCGACGACCTAATTAATATTTTAAAATATGCAAGTAATTCATCATTATATCAAATGTGTGCACATAACCAGTGTTATTTTAGAATCACTGAGACATTATTCTAGTTTTCCACATTTTAAATCCGTTTACATTTTTATTGAGTTTAACTTTAGTTAAACTAATTGTTTTGTCATTTTTATTAGTTTTTGTTTAATGTCTATATAGTTTTTATTGGCATTTCAGTTTTAGTTTTATTTATATTAAAGGGGTCTTATGATGCGATTTAAAATTTTTCCTTTCTCTTTGGAGTGTTACAAGCTCTTGGTGCATAAAGAAGATCTGTAAAGTTGCAAAGACTAAAGTCTCAAATTCAAAGAGATATTCTTTATAAACGTTAAGAGTCAGCCACGCCTACCTAAAACGCCTCGTTCTAACACGCCCCCACATATCTTTTTGGGTGACTTGACCTCTATGTTTCTGTAATAAGACAAATGTGACAAATAACAGGATTACGGTTTATATTTCATTTATCTTTCCTATGTTTATTAATATATTTTGGTATTTGATATATGACTGTCCTGCAGTTGGCAAAAAGGCACTATATAAATAAACATTAACAACAACAATAATAATAATAATATAATAATATATAATTATATAATAATAATAATAATAATTATTATTATTATGTTGGCTACCCCCTGGCTGTATTTATAAATCACTAAAACAACAAGGTTTTATATCGCTATCTATCTATCTATCTATCTATCTATAGGGCTATATATGAATCAATTTGAAGAAAACAAAAAAGTTTAATAAATAAATAAGGCTCAATATGGACTTTGGTAATTTCAGACGTCATATCTACCTGTGATATTATTTAGCGTGTTAATCATACTGTGTAATTTGACATTAGAGCATGGCATCTGTGTTTAATTACGGCTGGTATTCAAATGCAAATGTTCTGTGCATGTCACACCTGAAGAGTGCGGTCGTCGTCTCTCTCGGAGTGGGAGGGGTCTCCGGGTCTGTCTTAAACGCGGCTTGTGTACTGCATCATCACTGTGTCTGACACGCGACTCTGTTGCCCTTTCGGGCTTGAACTGATGGTAAAACTAAGGACATTATTAACTGTCTTGATATTAACTTTGAAAGCTGATGCTCGCGATTATAGTAAGGGGCCTTACATTTCCGACGCGTGCTTGCAGTGTTCGGCCAATCACAATATGCACTGGGTCAGCTGGCCAATCAGAGCAGACTGCGCTTGTCAAAGGAGGGGGCTTTGTTGAAAACGAGGTGTTTGAGAGAGGCGGGGCATAGAGGACCTACAATAATGTACAGTATTTGAAAAATAATGTGTTTTTTGAACATTAAAGCATGTCAACATATTCTGTTACACCAAATACACAAAATAATGATCTTTAAAATAGCATCATATGACCCCTTTAATTCAAGTTAACTTGAAAAATAAGAAAAGTTGCCTTGGCAACAAACTGAAATAATTTTTAGTTTTTAAATAAGATTTTAATTTCAGTTGACATTTATTTCAAGTCACAAAAATGTTTCAAGGTTTATCATTTTAGTTTTTTACATCTTCATTTATGCCCAAACCACCTCGCTTTGAATAGAAAGGAGAAATACACATTTGTAGTAATATTCACTTCTGCTGTAGACTGTTATTGATTGCTCATACTTGTCGTTTGAGATGCTCACCAGGATGAAGAGGTATCTCTCGGGTGGAGACTCTTTGCTGCTGAATATGGACGTCTCTGTGTGGAGGGTCTTGTAGCAGGCTGCGGGCGACCGCTGCGTTTCTCATGCGGTCATATGATGCGGTGGCAGACACAGTCAGCAGAGACTCGGCTTCAGCCATGAACCCTGAGAGAAGAAACCCAGCATCTCAATGACAGACTGTCCCTGAATCACTGGAACATCATCTCTGACACGTCATCTCTCACCCAGATTCTCCAGGATCATCTTCCATTTATCTCGCACCTCTCTCCTCATGTCTCTCATGGCCTCGATGTCGATGCTCAAACGCCGGTAGCCCTGCAGGACAGAAGACACGACAGGACTCAACTGAACCATCAAAACTCACGAGCTCATACCTACAAATACCTTACTTTAGTTGTACTTAACTGGGATAGATTTTAATATTGGAAAAATGACAGAAATATGAGGATTCCGATTTTTTTTTTATGCAACCTTTCTTGTTTATTTCTATATTTTTTTCTGTTTATACACATACATACCGGGTTCGTTCCACAGGTTGGTCTCTTGGTCCCGCCTTTTTTTCGCCTCGCGATCGAAATATTCCAACGTGTCGTGACTGACACAAACACAAACAAAATGTAAAAATACTGTCACCATACGAGGACGTCGAGCCTCGAAACTGCCACGAAAAACTGTAAAAATCTGAATTAGTGTGTTTGATATTACTTTGTAATTAGCAGTCAAACCGTTTCTTTAAAAAAAAAAATGGTATGTTTTTTTTTTCTGTCAGGCAGCGAAAATATTGGACCAAAGGAAAAGCAGAAGTACGTTGAACTGTGAGTTATGAATTACATATTTATGAATTTATTTCCACATGTTGTAATAGAGTTAAAGAGTTAGTAGCTGTTGAAACGTGTAGTATGTAAGTTTATACTTGTAGCTTAGTTTGAACCAAAGTAGCTAACGTAATTTGCTAAAATTGTCCTGTAAAAATAATATGAAAGAAAGCAGAAACTCAAACCATCAATAGTCAGACATGATTTAAAAACAAACCAACCCCACATCTCCTAAGTAATACCTAAGTAAATGTCTCTTTTCGTCCTCCTCATTATCATCCTCACAGCAGCAGCAACAGCAGAATCGTATACAGAACTTCTTGAAGGCGGCACCCATCCTCAAAATACAAAACTAGAAGATGGAGAAAAAGAAGTCCAAGTTCACAAGACGAGTGTTAAAAAGCACATCTGCCTCTCCAAGAGACTAAAGGTGAGATTTCTGAAGAAGATGAATATAAAACAAACAAACAAACAAAAAAAATCTTCTTGCCTTTGTTCAGGCTGTCACAGTCATATGTGTTTCTCCAGGTATTTTTTTTAGAAGAAAATAGTGTAATGTATTGCTTTGTTGTAACTTACCCCAGAAACTTCTGGCGAAATGCTGAATCCATCAATTCAGGTCTAAACACAGGTTTTCGTATTCAGAAGTGAAGCATCTTTCGGGGCCCAGAGAGCGACTAAAACATTTCAGCCTCTCTCTAGAATGAATAACATCACAGTTTAGTCATGAGTCTGAGCCGCGTAACCTGAGGCCATCACAGACCTCTAAATAAAGCCACTCGTCCTACAGCCCCAAAACACAAATGTGCTTTTACCTCTGAATGTTTTCAACAGTCGGTTTCGCATTGCGTATCCAGAACTTCATGCAATTTTAAATGGTTATAGTGAAAATGAAGCAGGTTTGAAGTGAAAAGACTGAGTGATTACATAACACTGTTGCTTCATATTATTATGAAAACCAATAATCCTAAACCTCCTGCTCTCATTTCATGGAAAACCTCATGTGCTCCCTGGCAAAATAATCAAACCAATAAATACCAGATTTGAGAAGCATATAACAGCAGGTCAGTGTTATTTTAGTAGTATTATTTATAAAAACTGTTACAGTTATTATTAATATTTCGATTTAGCATTTATTTGTATATTTCAGTTTTCATTTAGTAATTGTATGCATTTTGTATTAGTTATGTTTAATAATATTTTGGTTTAATTTATTATTCTTTTTTTTTATTTTAGTTTTTAAATATTTCCAGTTAATATTTTCAGTGCGATAATGTAAAATTATTTCATTTGTAATTTTTTTTCGTTTAGGTTTTTCGTCTAATATTAATATTATTTTTTCATATTTTCAGCAAGTGAAATCCAGAGGTAGTGTAACATTTTGTCAGATTGATGTCTCTTCTGAAATACAAGACAAAATACTAAATGCACAGATTTTCTCTTTTTTTTTTCCTTTACCTATTTTTTTTGCCAGCTGTCAAGTATTATAAAAGAGTAAGAATTTCTGTCTGAAGTTTGTAGTGACAAAAACCCAGAATTAAACACGTATGCATTTTGCTTTGCATATATAAGATGTGTAATTAAATTTTACAGTCCTTAAGGAGTAACAAATCTCACATCTACTGCATCATTTTGGTTTGATCAATGTGGCTGAAAGTTTGTTTGAAAGTAAGACAAACCTGCAAATGTGTACAAAGATCACTGATAATGTAACTGAACATTAATATATGAACCAGCAAAATTCCAAGCATCTGAATTTATATGAGAAAGAAAGAGGGAACGAGAGAAGTGTTTGATGTGTGATACTCATGTGAGAGTCTCATAGGCTGTGTCCCATCACATGGCGGGCTGAGCACAGCGTACTCTGCCAGAGGCTTTTCACTTAAGAAACATAATACAAATAATCCTTGTGATCATGTCAGGATGTTTTTAAAGAAAGAGAAGGGGAAAAGAGCAAATATGTTTATTACATTATTATAGATATCTATAACAAAAAAAATATTTGGACACAAAGCTACACTTTTAAATGTCTGAATGTCATTGCATTAGATCAAATATCAAACCAGTTTATATCAACTAAAGGTAATGTTCAAGCAAAACATTTCACAATATTTTTTATTTTTAGGTTTGATATAACACCAGATATATATGTTCACAATAAAAACAATTCTTTCTAGTTGTCATTTCAGTTCATATCATGGGTTAAAGTGAAATTATATTAATATATATTAATTTATATATGTGAATGTTTTTTGTTTTTTTTTCCCTGACACTTATTGCAATGTAAATATATTTTCTGGTGTATCTGATTCTATTAAAAATGCTTGGCTTTGTTTTTTTTGCCATCAAAACAAATACAAAATATTAATGTATTATATTTTAATGCCATTTCAGACTTTCAAAAGTGTTGTTTAAGTGTTTATTCACTTTTGGGGGTCATTGTTTAATTAACTATAAATCTGAAACAGGAAACACATCCAGTATAAACTGTTAGTTTTATTAAATGTTGATTCTTCATTTAAAAAAAATAAAAAATCATGATTTTTTTGAGTAACATGCCAAAATTCTGTATAGCTTCATATTACTGTAAATCAGTATAAAAATATAATTTACACAGAACCTGAATCATGAGTGAAGTGAACTGCAAAATGCTCTGCACAAACAAATGTGGTTACAGTCCATAGAGGCCAAAAAAGGTGTTCAGATACAAAATACATCTAATTAATGAAAGCAACTTGTGATTTCAGTGAGGGAAACTGTAACAAAGGCACACAAGTACAAGCCAAGAAGGCTGCAAAACAAAGTACAGAACATGACTGTTTAAAAAGATCAACATCATTCATGCTATCACTGATAAACTAACTACAACATGTGCCTTCCCTTAAAAGAAAGCCCAATGTTTCCTCTCTGTTAAAACCAATAAGTATTTTGCTTGCTTCAAGGCAACTAATGTAAGACACATTCACATTTCTATTAAGAGAGAATATAAATCAAACAACCGGTGACTATGCCTTAGTTTCCTGTTTATAAATCGCTATGCCCTGTATGAATGTGGTAAACATGAGTGCATAACAAAAAAACTTTGACAGTAATGCTCTGTGAGAAAACAAACTGACATGCAATAAAGAAAGAAGAGAAAAAGAATGCACGCATTTTAACACAAGGCCCATTTCAGATAGATTTTGAGCTGCTTTGAACCAGTTCTTACAGAATAAAACCAAGCGCAAATGTTTGCTTTTTTGTTGCATCATGTTTTATACAAATAGCTTGGGTCCTAGTTAACCGGTTATGCTGATTTAAGATGTAACTGTATACTCAAAATCTTAACCGTTTACATTATTAAACAAATGATCATACACATGGCAGGACGCTGATCTATGCTACAGATGAATGCATTTACTTTTAATAATCTAATACAGCAATGTTTGGCCACAAGAGCCAAACCATAATAAGAACTAAAACAATAATTATAATTAGTATGAATGTGTGTACATGTTCAATTAAGGCATAAGTAAAAGCAGCAAGGGAAAGCACAGTGTATTTGGCTCAGAATAAAGAAACCATCCTAGCCTTCAGTCCTGTTCACTAGAGGGACAACAGTGGTTTTAGGCCTAATCCATTTCCCCTGATCTCTTATACACCACAAGCTGCTCTCTGATAACTTCCTGTTCATGTTTCCAGCTCTTGTGGGGTTTGACAGTATGAGTTATGACCTCGTGTCCATGTGCTGCAGTAGTACATCTATATAAACGTTCAGCCGAAGTTTCCTAGGCGCAGACAGCCGTAACAACCTCCCGCCAGTCAAACGCAATGCTGTATCTCCTCATGGCAGTTGTGGCTTGAATATGGCACAGTGTAATTTGAAGTTACCACGATGTAAACTGTGGCTGGATAAAGAGTCGAAGCCAGAGATCACCGGTAGGAGACGTAGACTTCGTTTATACGCTGCCTGAGATGAGACATGAACTCGAACATGGTGGCGGCCAGTGACTGGTGGATGAGGTAACGTGGGAGGCGACCCTGTTTGAAGAAAAGTAACAAAAAAAAAAATATATATTTATATATTATTCAAAATATATTCATATTAAAAAAATGTATTATTATTTCATTACATATTTTGAAAATGAGCAGTCTGCGCACAAATTACTGCTATGGTTGAAAAGGTAGTCAGTTGCTAGGGTGTTTTGGTAAATTTGCAGATTTTCAACCAGATAATATCAGTAGTATAAGTACATGAACAATGTGAATTTTAACTGCGTCAAGAGACCCTCTATTATTAACAACGTAAAACGCGTCATCTGACAAACTTTTGAAGGCTCCAAGGCTTTTGTGAAAACTACAGGTCGTATTTCTGCATTTTTGTATTCCCACTAAGTTTGTGACGGTGAGAAAATTTTCCCACCGGTTAATCGACGTGTGACAACACTGATAATACCGGTATCACCATGGGGGCAGGGGCGTGCCCTCTTTTCCTCCGATTTTAAATAGCTTGTAAAAGCGGCGTGCACATTTTACTTTCACTTTCAAATAGCGGCAATTCGGCGTCAATTGCTTGAATGCAACAACAAAATACAACGTCAAACTCACTTTAGCCTATATATAAAACATAGAACTTTTATTAACAAAACCAATAAAAATACACCATGCTATAGATAGGGCAGGCTATACAACGGTATCACCGTCAGCACCGTCTATCGCGGCAAGCCTAATTCCCACTCACAGATAGTCTGATTGAGTCTAGTGCAATTATGGGTGTTGAAGTTGCCACAATGAAGTTGTGTACTACTTTTTTGCCACAGCCACATTCTCCGTTTTCTATGGAAGCTTGTTTCCGCCACTGAATAACAAAAAAAAGGTAATTCCGACTTTCTAGTTCACAATTCTAAAAAATTTTCCCACACAATTGCGAGTTCACATCTCATAATTCTGACTTTTTTTGATTTACAGTTACGAGTTACAAAGTTGGAATTGCATGATATAAATTCACAAATGTAAAAAAAATATTAGAATTGTGATATGATTTTTTCCCCCAGAATTGGACATTATAACTTGCAAGTTTAGATTTCACAATTCTGAGAAAAGAGGTCAGTAATGTGGGATAAAACTCTCAATTGCAAGAAAAAGTCAGAATTGAGAGAATTTCAAGTAAAAAAAAAAACTTGCAATTGTGTTTACATCTCTTGCAATTCAGAGCAACAACAAAAAAAAAATCACAATTATAATTTTTTTAATTTATTTTTTTAGTCTGTGTATTCCTTTGTTTTTTTTATTAACTGGTCCAAATCAAAAGAGCCAAGTCCCAAATTTCTAGATATGGTTCAACAATTTTAATGGTTGCCAATTTTAATATCCATCAGACAAAAATCATAAATCTAAACGCTTCAAAATGTTATAGCACACATCTCAACAAATTGCATGATGTCTGTAACACAAATGGTGCAGGATGACTTTATAATGAAGTTAACTTAATGTTATAGGGTTTTTCAAATCTCCAAATATTCCAAAAATACTTGCATTTAAAAACACCTAATTAAAAACTCTCATTATTTGAATGTGTTTAAATGGCAGTAACTGCAGCTCTTACCTTAAGGTCTGTATTGAGGACCCAGATGAAGGTGCAAACTGAAGGATTACTGCTAGATTTCAACACAACAAATCCACCAGGACCATTTTCCCCTCTGAGAGAGAGAGAGAGAGAGAGAGAGTTCAGTTTACAGCTTTAAGTTCTCCATTTTTATTGGCTGACGAAGCAAAACGCTTTGCATTCAAGCAGACCTGACGTAGCGACTGTGAGGGGGTTTACTGCTGTGATTGGTGGCCATTCCTGCAGAGATGTAGCAGTCTCTCCTGCGTTCCACCCGACGAACGTTGACAAAGTCCCTGAAGATCAAGAACGTAAAAAACAGACACAGTTGGAACTCTTTGACTTCTCAATAATTAGTACAGCCAAAAATGATAAAAAAAAAAAGCTCTGTTTTTACATGTTAAACAGACTATAAGCAACGATTCGTAAGCACTCTCTCACCTGGGAGACACGACACCTCCAGCGGCTCCTGCAGAAACATCATATGACACCATTGTGTTGTCATCCACTCGCTGTAAAATCTGTAGACAGATAAAAAAAAACAACACAGAGAGAACATTACCTGTAATGACAGAGTGTATGCAGGACACTTAGAAACAGCTTCTTCATGGCTGTTTCAATGATTAAAAGCTCAAAACCATCCCACAAAAACACCCATCTTATTTGTCAGCTTCGTAGTGTTTCATTTATGACCTTTTTAATGGGAACAATAGGAATGGATTCAAATTTGGGTCATCTGCATAAATATCACCCTGTCAAAGCACACCTGTTGTGTGCCAGGTCAAAAGAAGACCCATTTAACTTATTTAACTTAAATACATTTAGTTCTCCATTATGCAATAACATCCAGTGACTAACAAATGATTATTTGATCGGAAAAACATAAGCATCCATCATAAAAGGTAAATTGAAGTAAATATAAATATACACAACTATTTGGAGTTAAAAATTTTGTTTCGAAAGTTTTTTTTTTTTTTTTTTAGGAAGGATGGAATAAACTGATCAAAAGTGACAGTAATAGACATTTATACTGTTATAAAACAATATTTTTTAAATAAATGCTTTTTAACTTTTAAGAATCCTGACAAAAATGTATGACAGTTTCCACAAAAATATTAAGTAGCACAACTTTTTTCAAAATCGATCAGCAAATCAGCATATTATAATGATTTCAGAAGGATTATGTGACACTTAGGACTAGGGGTGTAACGGTACACAAACTTGATAGTTCGGTATGCACCTCGGTTTTGACGCCACAGTTCGGTATGGTTTCGGTACAGCATAAATTCAAATACAATTAAAAATTTCTTCGGTATAAAAATCCCTCATTTTTAACTATAATAATCGACACTCAAATTAAAAATTTGTATTCAAACATGTAAATTGCACATAATGCAGTTTTTAAATTAACTTCTAAATTATACAATTTCTATTTGTAGTTGAAATCATCATTTACACAGTGGCTGTCATAACTTGTTTCATAAAATATATTTTTAAGCATACATTAAATTATTAAGACATCACTAACAGGTAAAGTCAAATATAATGAATTATATAGTCTAATATTTTGCAAAATGCTCTTCTCTAGACTTCATTTCTCAAGCAAATAGCGAGCTGTGGGCACTGATGACTTGCCTGAGGTAAATGAAATGCTACGGTGCATTTTGTTTTAATGATGCATCTTTCCGCAATTGAAACACTGATTGAGCGATTACATGAGATTTTAATTCATGTTTGTTTCATGTTAAAACTAGTAGTAAAGATGAAGGGATGGTCGTGCTCCCTCGCGCTCCGTGCTGCCGTTAGAACTGAGGCTTCTATACAGCGATCCGTCTCGCCACATCAAAGAGTGCCAAAACGGCATGTATTGTCTGAATTTCCTGAAAAAAAGGGAATGATTTGTTTGGTACACATGCGTTACACCCCTACTTAGGACTAAAGTAATGATGCTGAAAAATCAACTTTGCATCACAGGAATAAACTGAATTTGAAACTCTATTCACATAGAAAATAGTTATTTTAAATAGTTATAATATTTCACAATATAACTGTATTTTTGCTAAATGCAGCCTTGGTGAGCATAATAAAGCAATAAGCCCCAAGAAGCCATGGTTTACAATGAATTTATAACAGCTAAGGGGCGTTGTTAAAACCCCCTTAGCTGTTATAAATTCACTGTAAACCATGGCTTCACGGGGCTTATTGCTTTTATAAAATGGTTATTCCATATATGTAGTAAGGTTTCACAAAATAAAACAGCAAATAAAGTGTAATGATATTAATAAAAACAGTATTCCACCAAACAATGTAGTTCCTCAGAATCAGTTGTGGTTGCCGAGCATCACACAAATGTAAACAAAGGTGTATGTTTGTTGAGTAATTTACAACAGCTTCGAACGTGGCTCAGCCAATCAGAATCAAGGACCGGTACTATCCGTTTTATAAGAGACTTTTGAACGGTACTGTACTATATATATATTTTTTTTTATACATTTTTTTTGTACATTTTGAAGTGCACATGTGTCTTAACTATTAACACATGCCTCACACCCACATGTGTTTCAGCTGTCATTAATGGAGGCTGTGAGTATGTGTACCTGACAAACAGACACTGTTCTGTTCCACTGCACCATCTTCTCCGGCTGCAAAATGACCTCCTGATACACCAGCTCTGCGGTACACTGCAAGAGCGCCTAAAACACCCAAAACACAGGTCAGTGACTGATTTTGTATATATGAACCAACATAAAGTCACATAAAGCCTCATAATACAGAGGGAACATACCTTTAAAATAAACGTTTTCCCATGGAACGGGATTTCAAGAGTATATACTGCATCGCCCAGCTCCTAAGAATTAAAACATATCATATTAAACCACTAACAAAACCAGAAACAAATAAAGACTGCAAGCATGGAGGTCTACACACATTAGTTTTCTCAAACTTCCAGTTTTCCTCTTGTGTCAGTATCTGTTCCACCACAGCCATGGCCTCCCGTCCCTGTCGTATAAACTGCTTGTCCTTAAAAGCAAGTGATTGGACAAAGTGATCTGCTGTGCTTTTTATGAAATAAACGGTTCTTATTACTTTCGGACATACAGAAATTGTCATTTTCAAACATTTCTTCCATCCAAACATAATGAAAAGGAAGAAAATAAGCATATGATTACTTGTTCTGTTAGTTCTATCCTGCCGAGACCCTCTTCATCAAGGTCTTCATCCGAACCTACAGGACAAACACAAACATTAGGCGGGAAATAAAGCAAAAACAGACAATGAGTTGCATTAGAAAGAAAGTGAATGGCATTACCTGCCAGGGACTCCGGCGGGGAGTAAAACTGTCCGTCAGACACGGGTCTAGGACAGATCAGAGGGGCCGGCTCACACGCGGCATTAACTGCTGCCAGATACGCTGCAGGAGATGAGAAAACGACAGATCATCAATGTAGTGGGAGGACTTTCCCAAATATCAGTGACAGTCTGAGTGTGCAACTCTAGAACAAAGCAGAGCATGTTTCCCTTCCCACAGCTTTAAGTAATGTGACTTTACATGACCACAACACTATTAAAACGACAAAAAGGGATTTTTCTTTTCCTCTTTTGAATGGGCTTTGAAACTAAAAAGCCAAACTGACTTGCTCTGAAGTGATTACGTCTATGATGTCACAACCATAAACGTATTAACATATGATCCGCATTCGCATATAAGTTCAGTATTTTATCATACATCTAGGATGTTTTTACTAATCTCACAAGAAAAAATGTCAGCCATTCGTAATTTCTTAATTCACATTTTTTGAAGGTACAGATGCAAAAAACTTCTACTTCAAACTGCTTAATTCTAACAGCCTTAGAGAGAGTAGAAAAGGTCATGAAAAAACAGAAAAAAAAAAAAAAAAAGTTACTTGGAAAAAAAACTTGACTAATATTATAGGTCACCTTCAGGGAAAAATAAAATAAAATAAAATAAAATAATAAAGACCAGAAAAGAAATAACCTGCCATAAACCTTCTGCTATTTTCAAGTTATAAATTCCATAAACATTAACAAAATGCATTATATTAGACTTATAAGTATGTTATTGACATATAATTCATATTGAGATTATATGCATTTTATGAGACTTATAAGTATGTTATTGACAAATAATGGAATATTTTAGCTTTGGAGGATGGCTTTATGACTAATTTGTCATCTATAAAACATGCCCTATGAACAAATGCTGTTATTAATGACTTGTGTCAGTTCAATACAGCCCTGAATTTTCTTATTGTAAAAAGCTCTCTCACCTCTCTCATCTTCTGCTTCCTGTGTGAGAACTTTGAAATCCAGGAACCAGGTTTCCAACCAAGCCACCACAAACGAGGTGATGGGAAGAACGTAACCAAAAGCATTCTGACTAAACAACTGAGAAAAACAAGAGGGATCTACAACGTCCTACACCTATTTCTATTATCACAGCAATATAATAAAACCGATGAGGAATTCAGAGAGCTGCTAGTGGTCTCTCTGAGGAACAAACACTATGACTTCCCTTAAATGAAGATAAATATTCAAATAGTTTGGTTAGGAAGACAAAACATGAACTAGCTTACATCTGACCAGATTACTTTGGCGATGAGGAAGGCGCTGGTCACCAGAGTAGTGATCTGAGAATGGAGAAAGAAAAAAAAAAAGACAATGATCATATCCAAGCCTTTAAAAGTCATATTTCACCACAAATATGAAAAGAAAAATATTGTAATTATTATTATCATTTTCTATAATGTTTACAGAAAATGCAAATATTGAGATTTATATAGGCTGAGGTCTTTCTTACCGCAATAACCCACCAATGTCTCAATCGAAACGCAGCATAACCAAGCTGCAAACACAGAAACCTAAACACAGCTAAAAGCTGGTCGGCAACAAGCAAAGGAGAAAAAGAGAGATTATTGCTTAGAAAATAATAATGACTGTTCAGTGCTGATTCTTAGTAAATATAAGAGAGTTTCAGCGTGTTTCTAGGATGACATCACTATTTTTGCAGGTATGACAGCAGCTTCAATAAATAATGAGGCCATTTTAATACCCCAAATTCACCCAAAACTTGCTTGTACAAGAAATGCTGTAGAGGACGACTACATCTATTGAGGTCACATGCTAAAGTGGGTGACAGTAGCGAGACAGAAACCGTGTGAATCGCAATTTCTCACACCTCATGCTCTAGAAGCTTTAAATAAACAGACTAATGCTTTATCAAACAGAAAATAAAACCCCAAAACTGGAACGGTTTAATGATTAATATTTTATACAGTCAAGTGTGTGTTTGCGTGTTCATGACAAAGACTTCATCAGAGAGATCATATCAAACCAATAGTGTAGAGCAGTCAGTTATAAAAATGATAAATTTTATTATCAACAAGTAACAAGGCTTTCGCTTTATGATACTTACAAAGATATCAAAGAAAGATGACTTGAAGTTGTAGTGAACAACCTCATTCTCAAGACTGGTCCATATACTCTTACTGATCTGAGAGAGACAGAGAGAAAGGCAAATCATGCATCCTTTCCTATAATATTTCATTGAAAACCTTAAAATGCACATAAATGTACTGTTTTATACGTCACACGCTAAAGATACATATTAAATTACAAAAAAAAAAGTTTATGTACATAATATTATTATTATTAATTCTTTCCATAAATAGGCTACAAAACGGCATAATAAATATGTTTTAACCATTTATATTTTTAAGTAAAAATATGTGTATGCGTACTTATATAAAATATTTATTTGCACATTTATCTCAATTTTCACATTTTCTTTTTGATGTAGTATAATATATAATTTATTTATGTACATAAATTTGTATTACTGTTTTCCATAAATAGGCTACAAAACTATATAAATAGTCTTTCATTTTATTAAACTATATAAATAGTTTGGTATTAAATGTTTTTAACCATATGTTTTATAAAGTAAATACAGTACATGTTAGGGCTGTGCAATATATCGAAATTATCGAAATATCGCAAATGTACATATCGCAATATGCATATCGCTACGGCTTGCAATATTTGGGGCCATGAACAAAATGGAAAATAGAGAGAAAATCACTCACTGCTTTTACCTAAATAACTTTTGTAGCTTAAATAAGAATCAGTGCATATTGAATTCAAAGAGTAAATACTAAGCAGTGTTTTATTTTTCCTTTTTATTATTCAGTTCCTAAACTCATGTTAAAATGATTACACTAATGTTAAAATGACATTTTTATGTAATGCTAGGGTAAAACACTACCGTTCACTTTCAGAAGTTGTTGTAGGGGTGCTTTCTTCTCACAAAAAGTGAAACATGTATGCTAGTTATATTAGAATCAGAATATGTATCAGTCTTGATACATACATACATACAAATAACCATATATATATGACACAAGATCGTTATAGAAGTTCACAGAACTGACTCGGCAACAGTTGAGTAAAACTGTTTCATCTGAGCATGTGGCACTTTAAGCATTATCGTATTGCATATCGAATATCGCATTATTTAATGAGTTATCGCATATTTCTTCAATATCGCACAGCCCTAGTACATGTGTATGTGCAGTTAAATATTTATTTACAGATTTATCTGAAATATCTGTATTATCTTTTTGATTGTTTTATTGTTTATTATTTTATTATAAAAAATGCTAAAATGATAAAAGTTAAAAATATATTTAATATACAAATTTCACACGCCTCTATTTTCATCAGAGGAAGTGAAAAGGGCACGTACAATCAACTGTAAAATTCACACCACACGACTATGGGCCAAGTTAAAAAGGAAGTACACACTGAACGACAGAGAAAAATTAATAGCATTGGGCAAGACGACAGTTTGGAAGCACAAAATAAAAACTCACATTTAATTCAATGATCCAGAGCAGAGTGATGAAGAGGAGGTCAAACGTAACGAAGAGGCAGAACGTTCGACGTACGTCTGAGAAGGCTTTCCTCTCTCCCGGGGGCAGCGGGGGGTAGTACGGGGAGGGAAGGGAGAGGGAATACGAGGCGTTCAAAGAAGCAATGGCTGGAAGACTTCCCCCCAACTCGCTGTAGTCCACGCCGCTCGGCATAACTAATGCAGCTGGAGCACATCCCCTAAACCAGAGACGGAAAGACAATTAAACAGTCAAACAAACAAACATGCTTTATCTGGCTCTTATGCAATCAGATACTGCAATTATACACAGACTGAAAGCACAGTGAGCAATCCAACAAGATCTAATCAAGCAGCCTTTGACCATTTTTAAAGCCGGTCTAAAGTCATGGCTTAACAAAAGCATTCCCTATGTAGTGTATCTGATTGTATATGTATACTGTTTATGTACATATAATATGTAATCTGCGTTTGATGATCATATAAATGTGTTGTGAATGTACACATTCTGTGATGCACTAAAATTGTTGATTTATATAGTCAGTGTCACCATGTTTGCATTAACTAGGTTGAATGTTGAATGAATAAGAGTA